TCAGAATCAGCCACAAAAGTAAAATCATCATGAAAATTAATCACAGGATGGGCTGAAATCTATAGTCAAAGGATTAAAAAGAAGCCTAAGAGTGAGTGAGGAAAAGGATTTAGAAATAAATAGGAACAACTTTCAAAATCTGAAAGAAGTAATTTCATAATAAATCAAAGCATTACATACTTTCTACAATGGATCATAAAAGGTTTCATAGCTCATTAATTTATATGAGCTTAAAAGGATTTAGATCGCATCATAAAAGGTAAATCCATAACATGTAATTAAGGGAAAGTAGGACTAGAATCAGACATCTCTAATGTTCGGAGTGTGACGTGATCACTGAGGCACTCTGCCCTCCAGTGCTTTTCTCAGTGTGAAGCAGAGCCCTCAGCCAAATGGAAAGGACTGACTGACATCCATCATGTGGAATGTTCTCTTGTTGACTGAGGTAACCCTGTGTTAATAAAACTACTTGTGAAAACAAAGTGTCATTTAACATCTCTGCTTTATTGTCTAATCTGATAGCCTGGTTAAGGATTATTAATGTGCCTTCATGGGGGGAAAAAAAATTGTATTCAAATGCATCTATCTACTCCTATCCTCCCTACCTATATGATTGGTCTTCCCACCCTTCTATCTTAAAAAGTAAAAATAAATAAAAATAATTTTTAAAAAGCAGAACAGGTTTTTAAAAGGCTCAGATTAATCAAAAGTAGAATGCTAAAGTGGTTTTCACCTGAACTATGACAGTATGTCTCTAATGTCAGGGCTTTATAAGGGTCCTGAGATAAGATCAGACGTTTTTAAATGCCATTCCCCCAAAACCTACATACAATCTCTTTCTAACACACAATGTGTTTTATGTCCTTCAGTATAGAGCAACAGTTCAAAAGCTTGGAAATGCAATTATTAAATAATAAAATGAACATTTGAAATTCCTAGGAATCCAGAAATTTCATAAAAAATAGTTTTTGAAATTTTAGCTGAAATAAAAATGAGACAGTGTATGGCACACAGCAGATTTTTTAATAGAAATTTAGCTGCTATTATAAAGTATAAGGATGTGAAAGTGAAGTCGCTCAGTCATGTCTGACTCTTTGTGACCCCATGGACTACAGCCTACCAGGTTCCTCCGTCCATGGGATTTTCCAGGCAAGAGTACTGGAGTGGATTGCCACTTCCTTCTTCAGGAGATCTTCCTGACCCAGGGATTGAACCCGGGTCTCCCCCATTGGAGGCAGACGCTTTACCGTCTGAGCCACCGGGGAAGTCTATAAGCCTCCCTCGTGGCAGATGAAAGTGGAAACAGAGGGCCGTTCTGGACAGCAATCCGACAGCAGTTAATTTACAATTTCTGCATATATTCTACTGTACAGCGATCTTATTTCTGGGCATAGTGACAGACAACTTCTCACATGGGGCCACAAGAAGATGGCTATAAGGATGTTTACCTCCAAGTTGTTGGAGTAGCAAAGTGGCAGAAGTTGGAATTCAAGACTAGTAAAGTGGATAACGAAAATGAAGGCTATGAGAACACTATAAAATGGTCAGACATGATGAAACAAATTATGATATAGCAACAACAAAAAAAAATCCCAAGAACATAATGGTGAATGAAAAGAGCAAGAAATTGTATATTTTAATGCATGGTATAAATTAGGCAGGACTTCAAAACAAATGCACATAAGGCAACATCATTATAAGAATACACATATTTATTTTACAAATGAAACTGTTAGAAAGACATAAAATATATACACTAAAATGAATAACTATGGAAGATGAAGGAGGATGGAATGAAGGAGAAAAGAAATAAAAGAAGAAGAAATAAAATGAAACAAATAAAATACTTTATCCAGAGTAATCACAATGATAATATTGGAACAAACTGAGGAATATATTTAATTTTTTACTCTATACACCTGGTCTAATGAGAGAAGGATTGGGAAAGACAAATACTCACTGATGTGTAGTTTCTTATTCTGTCTAAAACTTGTCATTATTAAAATCAGTAAATTCTTTGATTTGTTTACAAGGCTACCCTCACTATGAAATTATTTGTGTCCATTTTTAACTAGACTTCAGTGATTTCTAAACTATATAATAACATTTAATCTAAACCCTGCTGAGACATAAGGGAGCAGAAATGGTCCATACAAACCTTAGCCTCCCAGAACTTAGAACACACACCTCAATCAGAGTGCTAGGCCAAGAGCTAATATCCACCCAGCAGATAAAAGGCACAAGAGACAACAGTGCTAAAAGAGGGAGTCTCTCAAAGAGGGGCCACCGTTTTTCATTGTTCCCACTTACCAATTTCACGCCTGGAAGTGAAGGCTGAATGTGAGAATGAGTTTAATAGAGAGAAAATGAGGATCACTGGAAGAGGATAAGTGGAAGAAGAGAATATTTGAACAGATAATTTCTTAAAGTCCACTAAGCATCAGAACCATCTGTGCTGCTGGTTAAAAGTACTGATTCCTGCTCCCACCTACCCACCTGGGGTGATCCTGATTCAATAGGCTTAAGGTGAGGTCTGAGAACCTGTGTTTTGCTAAACCTCTCTAAGTGATTTCCATGAAGAGTCAGGTTTAGACTCCATATGAAATCCCTACCCTCCATTAAGATGTAGAATATATATATATTTGTACATGCATATAATGTTTTGCAGTATAAATGGGTAGGAAAAAAGGAAAGAAAAAAATAGGTAGAAAAAAATCAATCACTGTTTCCCTGGGCAAATCCCTTAACCTAACTCTACTTTAAGTTTTTTCTTCTGAAAAATAAAGAATATGGAGTAGAAAATAATTCATATACCCTGCAGTTCTAAAATAACATGATTTTGGTACTTAGTTAAGTGGGAGCAGTAAAGAAAAATTAACTCAAGGAAAAAACATCCCATCTGGTCTTACTGAAATATTGTGAAAAGTTTTCAGTTCTAAATTGGTTCCTTATATAGAGCTTCCTTTTCTTTTTTATGATCTTTTTTGGTAATACTCTCTTTAAGCTCACAGATATAGAATATTTTAAAAGCATTGTTATAAATAATATAAATGCCAGATTCTGTTTTACATAAGTCAAACAAAATAGCAGTGGTACAACATACCAACATGACAAAAGTATGTGTGATTTATTCAAGATGAAAGAACTTTATCTTGATCTCTTTAAATGTTTAAAACCATGTCCTACTTGGTTGAGGGTTGTTGACACTATGGCCAAGACAGTTTCAGCAACTCAAAAAGCGCTGATGATATCAGTGGGTCTCTGATATAGGCTGCTTCAATGATCACTTTTCATTTTTGCCTTTTCATACAGTTCATGGGGTTCTCAAGGCAAGAATGCTCAATTGGTTTGCCATTCCCTTCTCCAGTGGATCACATTTTGTCAGAACTCTCCACCATGACCCATCCATCTTAGGTGGCCCTACATGGCATGGTTCATAGTTTCAACTTAGACAAGACTGTGATTCATGTGATCAGTTTTGGTTAATTTTCTGTGATGGTGGTTTCATTCTGTCTGCCCTCTGATGAATGAGGATAAGAGGCTTGCGGAAGCTTCCTGATGGGAGGTACTGGCTGTGGGTAAACCTGGGTCTTGCTCTGGTGGGCAGGGCCATGCTCAGTAAATCTTTAATCCAATTTTCTGCTGATAGGCAGGGATGTGTTCCCTCCCTGTAGTTTGGTGTAAGGCCAAACTATGGTAGGGGTAATGGCAGTAATGGAGTTCCCTGGTGGCTCAGCTGGTAAAGAATCTGCCTGCAATGCAGAAGACCTAGGTTCAATCCCTGGGTTGGGAAGATCCCCTGCAGAAGAGAAAGGCTACCCACTCCAGTATTCTGGCCTGGTCAAGCTCCAGGAAATGGTGAAGGACAGAGAAGCCTGGCGTGTGGCAGTCCACAGGGTCGCAAAGAGTCAGACACGACTGAGCAACTGAACAACAACAACAGTGATCACTTGGCACATAGAATAGTTCATGGCCCATAGAGGGTGACCAAAAAATATTTACTGAATGAATTGATAAATTCACAGCTATGCAAAAATACTTCTCTTAGCAAAAGCTCTCACCAGTGCCTCTTAAACTATATATTTCTACTGACAATTTAATATCCTTAATATTCTAATATACTTTTTGCCCTATAGGTTTTATGTGAGTCAATAGGTTCTCAATTCCAATCTGGTGGAGAGGGTAATTGGAATTCCAATTCCAACTATCTACCCAGAGGCAGCATCAGATTTTTCAGGTTGAACATTGAGGGTTCTGTACCACATGAGTGCCCTCCTGCTGACTTCAGGCATCAGTACAAGCCTAGGTGTTGACTGTGCTTCTGATCCACCTAGTTCAGATTGGTTCCCATGATACCACCCTTAGACTTCAGCACCAGTTATAAATCAGGGGTTCCCAAGACCTCTTCCTTTGGTTTGAATAATTTGCTAGAGTAACTCACAGAGCTCAGAGAAACATTTTACTTACCAGACTTCTGGTTTATCATAGAAGGATATAATTCAGGAACAGGCACATGGAACAGATGCAGAGGCAAGGTAGGGGACTTCCACGCCCTTACCAAATATGCCACTCTTAGCTCTTCCACACATTGTCCAAACTGGAAGGCCTCTGAACCTGTCCTCTGAGTTTTTATGGAAGCTTCATTACACAGTCATAACTGATTTTATCATTGCCACTGGTACTGATTCAACCTCCAGCCCCTCTCCAGAAGAATGGGGAAAAGTTGCACTTCTAACCACATGGTTGATTTCTCTGGCAGTCAACCCCATCCTTAGGTTATCTAAGGGCTTTCCAAAAGTCACCTAATTAACATATCCCAAGAAAAGCCAAGAATTGAGGAGCTCTATGCCAGGAACAGAGCTCTGTGCCAGGGTGGAAGACCAAATATGCATTTCTTATCACAAATCATGATATCACAGTGAGTCTAAATTTAAGTCATTTAATCACCTCCAACATTTAGCTAAACTTTAGAAACATTCCTGAGCTGTTGTTTTACCTACCTGCAAGTGCTACTTTTCTGCATGACGTCAGCTCGATGATACCCAGAGAGTTTGCAAAAACCGTCATTACTATAAACTACAGGCCAATCCACAATCTGGGCATTTCCCAGTAAGAAACTCGATTCTAAAGAAGAAAGAAGAAAAGGGAAGTTTTTTAGCTTCATTTAACAATGTACATCTTTCAAGTAATTAAAAATACAAATTCATAAAAATAAATAAATGTAACTGTGGTTTTTATAGCATGAATAATAAAATATATCCTTGAAATTATTATTAGCATAGCATAATCAGGAGGTGAGATCTGCAACAAGTATGAGATTTGCATGTGAATTAAAATTCCATTGAGAAGAAGCTAGTTTACAATACTCTTGCATTCAAGTAAATACTATGCTATGAAAACAAAGTATGGTTAATATTAAATAAATGTTAATAACTATAACAATCACAGCTAAAAATAGTTTAATTTATTAAGACTAAGGCTACAGTCACTTCTTCACAAATTGAGAATATTAAACTTAAAAGCAGAGGCAACTTTGGATTTGCCTCCAAAAAGTGTATTGATGTAATTTTAACATGATGGGACAAATTCTTTGTACATCAGTTTGATTTACAGAAGGGCTTCCCTGGAGGCTCAGTTGGTAAGGAATCTGCCTGCAATGTGGGAGACCAGAGTTAGATCCCTGGGCCAGGAAGATCCCCTGGAGAAGGGAATGGCTACCCACTCCAGTATTCTTGCCTGGAGAATCCCATGAACAGAGGAGCCTAGAGGGCTACAGTTCATGAGGTTGCAAAGAATCAGACATGACTGAATGACAAACCTTTCCTTTCCTTTCCTTCATTTCAGTTCAGTTCAGTTCAGTTGCTCAGTCATGTCCAACTCTTTGCGACCCCATGAACTGCAGCATGCCAGGCCTCTCTGTTCATTGGCAGCTCCCGGAGCCTACCCAGATCCATGTCCGTTGAGTTGATGATGCCATCCAGCCATCTCTTCCTCTGTCATCCCCTTCTCCTCCTGCCTTCAATCTTTCTCAGCATCAGGGTCTTTTCCAAGGAGTCAGTTCTTCACATCAGGTGGCCAAAGTATTGGAGTTTTAGCTTCAGCATCAGTCCTTCCAATGAATATTCAGGACTGATTTCCTTGATTTACAGAAGTCTAACTTAATTTTTTTAAGCCTCTTTTTAAAATAAAATTATTCAAAGACATTATTTTCAACCACATGCTACAAGGAGATCAAACCAGTCAATCCTAAAGGAAATCAGTCCTGAATATTCATTGGAAGGACTGATGCTGAAGCTGAAGCTCCAATACATTGGCCACCTGATGTGAACAACTGATTCATTAGAAAAGACCCTCCCTGATGCTGGGAAAGACTGAAAGCAGGAGAAAAGGAGACAACAGAGGATGAGATGGTTGGATGGCATCACTGACTGATTGGACATAAGTTTGAACACGCTCTGGAAGTATGGTGATAGACAGGGAAATCTGGCATTCTGCATTCCATGGGGTCTCAAAGTGTCAGACATGACTGAGCAACTGAACTGATTGATATTTTCTGACCTGAAAATAATTTAATCAGAAGTCATCTTTTAATTATCTAGAAAAATCTAAAGCATTTGGATGTTTGGAGGTTATCCAATTCATTTCTAAACCACTGGGTCAAAGTAGAATTAAAAGAAATATAAAAGATATTTTTAACTGGATAATAAGTTTGTGGTATATATTTAAAGCAGTGCTTAGGGAGAAATTTCTCATTTTAAAAGTTTATTTTTAACGAAAAGTTTAAAATCAATGATCTAAACTTTTACATGGAAAAAAACTAGAAAAATAATAGCTATTAAACCGAAATTAAATAGGAGGAAATAAATAAGCATTGGAATGTTGATGAGTGAAACTAAAAACATCCAAAGGAAAGTGAACTATTAAAGAAAGAATTACTGACCAATAGATGTTATGAATGTATCTGTAAAAATCCACAAGAAAATAATGGCAAATAGAATCTAGCAGTACATAAAATGAAAATAGATCATAACCAAGTGGGGTTTATCTCATCAACATAATTTGATGTATCATTATAAAATCAATCAAGGTGGTCCACCAACCAAATAAAAGAAAAAAGCCATATGATTATATTTCAATAGACGCAGGAAAAAGCATTTGACAAAATTCATATGTATTCATGAATAAAATATCTGAACAAACTAAAAATAAAATAAAACTTCCTCAAACTGATAGAGACCTACTAAAAAATCCATAGCTAACATCATTTTTAAAGCTGAAACATTGAATATTTTTCCCTCAAAATTAGGAAAAAGCCAATGATATATACTTAACATTTTATTGGATGTCCAACTAATGAAATAAAAAGGAAAAGAAAAAGAAAGAAACAGAAAAAATAACAAACATAAAAATGTTAAAAAGGTAAATGCAATTTTTTCTATTTGCAGATGATATGACTGTTTACATAGAAAATCCTAAGGTATATTCAAAAGAATATCTAAAATTATTAAGTGAATTTAGCAAGGTTACCAGGTATAAAGTCACTATAAAAGTATATTTTATTTCCATTAACTAACATTAAATTGGAAAATGAAAAACAATTTTACTTAGAATGGTATCAAAAAATATAAAGTACTTAGTAATAAATTTAACAAGATACATGCAAGACCTCTAGAGTGAAAACTAAAAAAGGCTGCTCTCAAATGACTTCAACAAATGGAGTTATGCCATGTGAAAGAACTGAAAGACTAGATATTTTAAGACTTCAATTCTCTTCAAATTAGTCTACAGATGTAAACAATTCCAACAAAATTACCAACAGGCTTTTTTGAAGTAACTGACAAAATAATTATAGAATGTGAAAATACAGATTACCAAAAATAACCCAAAATAAATTCTGAAAAAGAAGAACCAAGCTGTAGAACTATACTGTTAAGGTAATTAATATAGTATGAAATTGGAGTGAGGACAAATAGATAGATGAAACAGATTAAAGTGTTCAGAAACAGACACATATATGGTCGACTGACATTTTTGGCAGATGCCAAGGCAATTTCATTAATAAAAACAACTTCAATGAACTATGCTGAAACAACTGGCTAGACACAAAAGCAAAACTGAACCATGACCCCTACCTCATGCCACACACACAAAAGTAATTTAAAACAGGTAATAGACCCAAATACAAGAGTGAAAACTAAAAAGAAAACATAGTTGGAGATCTTTGCAATTCTGAGGAGACAGGAATTTCTAAGATTCTTTCACGGGGTGTGTGTGTGTGTGTGTCTGTGTGTGTGTGCATGTGCACACTCCATCACATCCAACTCTTCACAACCCACAACCCCATGGACTGTAGCCCACCAGGCTCCTCTGTCCATGGAATTTTCCAGGTGAGAATACTGGAGCAAGTTGCCATTTCCTACTCTAGGGGATCTTCCCAATCCAGGGATCAAACCTGTGCCTCTTGAGTCTTCTGCATTGGCAAGCAGATTCTTTACCACTTGCGCAACCTAGGAAGCTCAAGACTCTTATAGTAATCACCATAAAATAAAGTGTTGATAAATAAATTGTTGTTTTAGTGGCTAAGTGAAAGTGAAAGTGAAGTCGCTCAGTCGTGTCTGACTCTTTGAGACCCCATGGACTGTAGCCTCCCAGACTCCTCCATCTATGGGATTTTCCAGGCAACAGTATTGGAGTGGGTTGCCATTTCCTTCTCCAGGTGATCTTCCCAACTCAGGGATCAAACTTGAGTCTCCCTCATCGTAGACAGATGCTTTACCATCTGAGCCACCATGGAAGTCCAGTGGCTAAGTCATGCCCAACTCTTTCGTGATCCCATGGACTGAAGCCCACCAGCCTCTTCTGTGCATGGGATTTCCCAAGCAAGAATACTGGAATGGGTTACCATTTTCTTCTCCAGAGTATCTCCCCAACCCAAGGGTTGAACCCACATCTCTTGCATTGCAGGCAGATTCTTTACTGTTGAGCCACCAGAATAAATAAATTAGACATTATCAAAATTAAAATCAACTGCTCATTGAAGGATACTGTCAAGTAAATGAAAAGGAAATCCATAGACTGAGAGAAAATATTCACATGCTGATAACCAAGAAAGAAATTCTATCCAAAACAAGTCCCAAAAATCCTACCAGAGGGCAAATGACCCAGCTGACAAAATGGGCAAATGAGTTGAACAGACATTTCACAGGAGAAGATACACAATGGCCAATAAGCACAAAAATAAGATGTTCACCATCATCATGGGGGAATACACTCTAAAAACACAATGATATATCTCTGCTCAACCACTAGAGTGGTTATAAAGGCTAATGATACAAAATGCTGACAAAAGTGTGGAATAACTGAAATTCTTTATAAAATGCTAATGAGAATATAAAATTGTATGATCACTTTGGAAAACAGTTTCAAGTAAAGTTAAATATTCAATTATGACCCAGAAATTTCACTATGAAGCATTTACTCAAGTGAAATGAAAATATTTGTTAACAAAGACTTGAAAATTGTTCACATCAGATTTATTCATAGTAGCCAAAAATCAAAAACAATGCAAACGTCCATCAACAAAAGAATGGATTAAAAGTTATGGTATATTCCTACAAGACACTACCCAGCTGTACAATGGAATGAATTACTGATCACACTTCACTTTAGTCATTCAGTTACGTCTGACTCTTTGCGACCCCATGGACTGCAGCACTCCAGGCCTCCTTGTCCATCACTAAATCCCGGAGTCCACCCAAGCCCATGTCCATTGAGTTAGTGATGCCATCCAACCATCTCATCCTCTGTCATCCTCTTCTCTGCCTGCCCTCAATCTTCCCCAGCATCATGGTCTTTTCAAATGAGTCAGCTCTTCACATCAGGTGGCCAAAGCATTGGAGTTTCAGCTTCAACAACAGTCCTTCTTCATCTGCCTATCTGAGGTTATTCATATTTCTCCTGACAATCTTAATTCTAGCTTGTGCTTCATCCAGCCCAGCATTTCTCATGATGAAATTACTGATAGATTGCAACAGTACAAATTAATCTGAAAAACATTATGTGGAGCTAGTGGTAAAGAACCCGCCTGCCAATGCAGGAGACATAAGAAAAGTGGGTTTGATCCC